TTGTTTATTGATGAATCCTGTCTCAGTCAGATGATCTGACAAATTCCTGAAGACGGAGAGATTCTCATCTACTGTCTTGTTCTTAGCAAACCTGAATGCCATGTAACGAGAGATTGCAACATCCTTTACAATTCCAGTTTGTTTAGAAAATCTAGCTTTTGTTTGAGTCCAGATTTCGTGCGCCGTTACTGTTTCGGTCTGATTGTAGAATAAGGAGACTATTAGATTTGGATGTATCGAGGCGAATAACATTTGTTTGGCCTTCTGGTTAGCTTTCCGGAATCGACTGATAGTCTTTGCTTGTAAGTCAGTGTACTTATCGGTACCTTCAGCTTTCACAGGCATTTTTAAAGACCTTGTACCACATCAGCTACATCACTATCATTGGCCAGATATATCGGTATGAGTGATTTCCATGCCACAAAGTTTTGGCCATATTCCTTGAGTACGACTGGGCAAGCTGGCAATGATTTCGTATCGGTCACGATACTCTCTGGATTCGTATCTTCATCAGTTTCTGTTTCTGAGGCTGCTCTCTTGGACCTATCCGTGGTGTCCTCTTTGCCCAGAGGATTGACCACATCAAACGAGCTTTCCATGATAGTCTCGTACTTCCAAGTTTGAAATACTTAGTCGACTTACTTGTTTCTCACCAAGTTGGATGGTAGAACAGATCGTCGCTGATAACGTATTCACTTTTCGGGTACACAAAAGATAGTAATGACAGCTCCAGAGCATCAGACTATGCCCAGTAAACTTTATTGAAGCGGAACGCGTAATATATACGTACACTGAAGTAAGAGAGAGGGAAGCAGGACTGCGTAGGAGTCTAGCTAAGCGTAGTGACAACGATCACGGGGAAGACAGATTTCAACACTTGGATGTTTTTGACGGTTCTCTCGTTATCTTCACACATTTCGATTATTTGTAGGGCTCGCTGGGCGTCTAGTTTCGCGTGGGACTCTCGGAAGCATGCCTCTTGTGCTTTCGGGTATGCCGTTCCGAGCACGAGAATGTCCCGGAGCGTTTGTTTCGCTGCGGCTCCAAAGTCACATCTCTTCACTTGTTTGCTGACGCGTTCGAAGAAATCCTTCGTCATCTCGCCAAAGTTCTGTTTCATTCTGTACAAGACGTACCGCTGATATATGATATTTCGGTGCGCCCTGAATCTTTTCTCGAGGGCTTCCAGCGTGAGTTTCAGTTGTTGACATGGGTTCAGGCCTGTCGCATCCACTGCGTCGTTGACTTGCGTACCGATTTCAAGGTTTCTGATGATCGTTCGGTTTTCCTCGCCGAAGACGGCCCGAAACTTCGCCATCTGCACCGATGGGACCTCCTTGTACAAGCTGTCCACGAGAGCGTAATCTGAGAAAGCCTCGCTGAAGTCTTGCCATCGGCCTGAGTTGTCTTCGCCCTGAATCACCTTCATAGGGCTCGGAATGGGCATCCATGAGTCCCGCGGGGGTGCCATGGCTGTGCTGATTCGTTTTCACACGGAGTTGTCACTTATTTTTCACTGGTTTTCTTTGAGATTCGCGAACTGCGCCACGTATTGATGACTCCGTTAGCCGTAATGATGACGATGGTTTATTCTTATTCTCTGTCGATTCCAAGTGGCTTCTGCTACAGCTAGACTAGGAATCCCGTGCGCGACGCACAATCAAGGAACATCTACCGCACAGCTGACCAGAAATCGTTCCATAAAAAACGATGTGCATATAATGTATATGATCAGGATGGATAACATACTATTTCCTTCTAAATAAAACATTCTTCGGAACTTGAGAGCCTGATCCTCGAGTTGCGCAGGGGGACCAAAGACACTAGCTTTGGCTTGTGAGTCGAATCAGCTTTGAAATCCAATGTTTTTAGGCTCTGGAGACATATTCATCAAGTAACCGCGGAGATTATCAGTATGATTGCAAATCGGGTCGTGAGGGCTCTCAACATTCTCTCAACATTCGTATTTCAAACTCGAATAGGAGATTGTCCCGTAAATTGTCTGCCGATCAATACAATCAAACAAAAATTCTGTGCACAATCAAGAAAGTTCCAGCCTCTCAAAAGCGGCGTTAAATCGTTACATGAAGGACGAAGTACATTGAACGCGCCCCCCGAGTCGAAATTAAAGACGTTTCACGTCAAAACTCTGTAAACATACATTTCTCGTGAGAATTGAAAAACTCCGAGTCGTCATGTAAAATACGTTTTTATTTCTCTGCCGCTGCCAATCTCTTCTCTGTGGTGTCTCCCCTTTTGTGAGACTGTACTCCTGCTGGTTCACTTCGCTCACTGAGCTAGTGTGTTTCCTCACTATCCGACCTTTCCTTCAACAATCTTTGCCAAGCTGTTCCAACAGGCACCATAGTCAAACTTGCAAAACTACAGATCTTAAGGCACACACTGAGACGAACACGATCTTCTTAAGCGCACCGAGACGGCCGTTCTGCCCCGGACAAACCTCCGCGCGGAAAGGCGTTTATTATATAACTAGCGCTCCCGGTCGCCGCTTCGCGGCGAGTCGGTATCGCTAGACTCACTACACATGCGCTAGCTCCGAGTGCGCTGACTCCGAGTGCGCTGGCTCCGAGTGCGCTGGCTCCGGGTGCGCTTGCTCTGGGTGCGCGTCTCGTTTCCCCGCTTCCCCGTTTCCCTGCTTTCCCGTTCCCCTGCTCTCCCGTTTTCCCGCTTTCCCGTTTCCCCGTTTTCCCATTTTCCCGCTTCCCCATTTCCCCACTTTCCCATTTCCCCACTTTCCCATTTCCCCACTTTCCCGTTTCCCCGCTTTCCCCACATTCCTGTTTCCCCACATTCCCGTTTCCCCACATTCTCGTTTCCCCACATTCCCGTTTCCCCCACATTCCCGTTTCCCCACTTTCCCGCTCCCCTACTTTCCCGTTTCCCCGCTTTCCCGTTTCCCCGCTTTCCCGTTCTCCCGCTTTCCCGTTCTCCCGCTTTCCCGTTCTCCCGCTTTCCCGTTTCCCCACTTTCCCGTACCCCCGCTTTTATCCCATATGTTCCTCGGAAAATCTATACCCTTCACGGCCCCAGCAATTTTCAGCGAGATTCATTAGTAGAAAGACAGAGGCCAATGATGACGGCAACCCCCGATAGCCTTCTTAGGAGCTCCCGAGAGTCCGCCCCCTCATAGTGCTCCAGCCGTTGAAAGTCCTGCGAATTCCCGTCTTTCTCTTTATGAAATCTTTGATTCTCGATGAGAGGACCACTCAAATAATTTTTTCATGGAGGGAAGACCCATCACATGAGAAC